TGATGATGGTCCATATTTGCATTAACCAGACTGATGTCGGTTCTCGGCCTCATGCCGAGCCGACGTTGATGGTGATGCTTGTACGTGGCTATGCATGGGTGTCTGACGAAATGGCACGTGTTGGCCCACGTGACCGATACGGTCTCTCCGGTACAATAATAATAATGTTAAAAATTATTGTTTTATTAATTAGTCTTAAAAAAGGTTGAAATAAGATTTTATTTTATGTAAAATTAGTTAATTTTGATTTTAATATTCGGTAACTCTTTTTCTTATTTTTCATCTATTAAAATTAAAATTATTATTTTTAGTTTTAATTTCTTATATGATTATTTTAATTACTTGTTATTGATTAAAAGATTAAGTGAACATTTTCTCAATTACTTAAGACTATTAATTAATAATATTATGTTAGTGTAACGACCCGGCTGGTCACTACACATGGCATAGCACACTAAAAATACCAGACAGATAGAGCAATAGGGTCGGACACAGTTGGTATGCGAAAAGTTTTTACTTTCTTGGTAATCTAAAGTCACAAATCTTAATTTTCCATGTTTGAAAACTATTCTAAAAAAATAATTTTTAAAAATATAATTTTTTGAGAACCATTTTTATCTTACTTATACACAAAAATATCCCCATGGGGGTAAAAATTTAACTTTTTCAAGTTAGAGAAAAAGTTTATGTATATAAAAAATCACAATATCCTTTTTTAAAATAGAAAATTTTGCTCTCCTTGTATTTGTCTTTCTCTCTCACTCTTATTCTCCCTCTGTTGTTGTCTCTCCCCCTTTCTCTCCTTTTATTTCTCTTTCATACTTTCCCACTCTATCTCTCCCGCACTCACTCCCCTTGTCTTCCTCTATATCTCCCTCTCCCTCTCTCTCTCTTACTCTCTCCCCCTCCCTCTCTTAATCTTTCTCTCTCTCCCTTCCATGTCTCTATCTCTCTCTTGTATCTCATCATTTTGTCAATTTTAATAATATTACTAAAGTCTATTTTATTTTTACAATTTAATGGTATTTGTTAACTTTTTTTTAATCTTTTTATTGAAATGAAATGAAATAATATGTTTTTATCCTCCTTAATTATTGTATAGTATTTTTTATTTATTTCTTTTGTTAAATTTTGCATTTAAATAATATTAACTATAAATTTTCAAATTTTTAAAATAATTTAATTTCATATTTGTAATAAGATTTGAGTAAATAAATATATCTAATGAGTATATTTTAATAAAGTATATTTTTGTAAAAAATATTTACATACCGATGAATATATTATTGTAACCAAACATAAAAATCTTTAATACCCGGAAATCTTGTATGAATACTTCCAGAAATATTAATGAGTAAGTAAACATATTTTAGTTATTTTCAAGAATCATAATTTCTAGAATTTATAATTCCTAAAAATTATGATTCCTGGATGCGAAAAAAAACTCTCACCTACCAAATGTCCCCTAAGAGAAAAGGAGAATAGAGAGAAGAAATTCCATCATCATATAATTTTATCATCCAATGTTGGGGAGATTTGGACAGAGGGAGAGGAGTTTTAAAACATTCTTATTATAATGTAAAAATTATCCTTAATTGTGTTTTTAAATTAAAAATTATAAGGATATAAATATAAATTCATTTTTAAAATATTTCCATCCCCATTGTGAACTTAACAAAAAAAAATGGTTACCTTCTGTTTCTTACATTAAAATCTCTCCCCTTTCTTCTTTTTAATTAAACAAAATTTCTAATCTTCCACCTCTTTTCCATTCCCTATCCTTCCATTTAAATCTCTTTTCTCTCCTCTCCTTCTTTAAATGTAAGAGTTGTCTTATTTTGTGTTGTTAACATAGAGAATGTTAGTAATACATTCATTGTTGTCAATTGAAGTTTACTCAAAATTATAAAATCACGCAAATTTTGCTTAACTAATAAATATTTCATGTATAGTTGAGAAAATAAAATAAGTTTGATGAATAGATTTATTTTGAAAAAAATTCAATCTAATTTTTATTTTATTCATTAAAATTACAATAACGATATCAAATTCGAATATAAAATTTTGTATATATTATCATAACTTTCTTATCATTAGACTGATGCTAGTAGTTTGATCTAATTTAATTTTTAGTTTAACGGTAGAATTTTTTTTTATAATAATAATAAAATTGAAGTTTTTATGCATCTCCTCTGATCTCATAGTCAAGTTGATTACGATATATGAAGCAAAACAAACATCTTCGTGGGTGGGCCTTCTATTACCGAACCTAATGCTTTAGTCAATAGGACTTGGATCTCATATGCTTGGACCTAGCACTTCCCAACTCCAACCCTCTGTCAGGACTAATGACATTATTAACTCTCAAATTAATTTAACTTAAAAATGTTTCGACCAAGATTATACCAAATCTAATTAGATTGCCTAAATTGGCTTTAACTCTTGGGTTGTTGATGGCAATCCTAGTCCGACGTAATTCTATGAATATAAATAAATTTTAATTATTATTATAAAAACTATTTGTTAAAAATAGTATATTAGAAAATGTACAATATTTTTCTTGTTTCCATAAACTATACTTCAAATGACATTCTGTCCACTTGAAAAATATACTCTCAAAATGGCATAGTTTTGTGACCAAAGTTTTGAACGTGAAATTTAATAATTAAAACTAGTATTTTTAATATAAACGTAACTGTAATTCAAATATATATAGTCATGCGCAATGCGCATCATGCTTCCCGCCTTTTCCTTTTGTGTTTGTTTCCATTTCACATTGCATCAAACCGAATCAAATTCACATTCCTCAATTCCGCGCACCACAGCAAGAGTTGCACCGCAAGTGTTTTTTTTTTCTCCTTCGCGCAAATCCCTAATCGATGTTGCTCCTCCGCCATGGTTTTGATTCAGAATAATTAAACTTACACTGTAGCCTGCGATTGCTTTTAATTGTTGAGATCGTCTCTACGTGCCGATTCTCAATTCTTCAGTTCCTCTTTCTCAGGTAATCTATCGGCGACTTCCAATTTTGGAATTTCATTTTCATTTTTCTGTTCGCGTTGTTAGTCCCTTCGAAGTTCGAACGGTATGCATGCATGGTTTTTCTTTCTTGAGTTGAGAGGTTGTTATTTGCACTCTGGAGCTTATGGTTTCGTGGTGTTTCGCGTTATGCTGACTTGAACGGAAGCTTCGTGAGTAATGAGTTTCTACCTTAATTTCTGTGTAACTGAACCGGGTTTTATGTGGATTTGTTCTATTCGCTTCATAATAGTTGGTTTTTGTTGTTACTTTTTCAGGTTAGTTAATGAAGTCTCTGCTTGGCTGAGATTGCCACTGATAATGGATGTTGAAGCGCGCCAAAATTTTCGTGATGTAAGCGGTTGCAACCTTGTTTTGGATACTTTTCTGATCTGACTTAGTTTGGTTGTCAGTGTGCTGCTTCATTTATAATAATATGAAAATTTGGGTAGTTGATTCGTTAGTATAGGTTAGGTTTGTTGATGACTGTGAATTGCTGCTGTTAATTTGCGCTTGCCATTTGTTCTGATGCAAATACAACTTGAGCATTCTAGATAATTGCAGCAAAGTGTTAGTAGTACTACCTCTTCTGCTCTGCATAAGACTCTTTTAACTACTTCATGAGAGTCAAGAAATTTAATTAATTTACTTAGTGGTATTAAATTTATCATTAATTTGTATACTTTTTATTACAGAGATTCTGGTCTCTTAATATCTTTCAACTCAACTAATTAATGTATCTTCACTTAAGGATATTTTTTGTAAAAAAAGAAATTAATGCAGTAGACTATTAAGAAGTGATTTTATAAAAATGATGAAGACAAACTTCCTAAAATTTCTTATTAAGAGGACCTGCTAATAAGAAATAAATTGTCTATTATTTTGAAATGATCTTCTCTCAGATGTTACTGGCGACGACCTATTATAATTTTAGTTGCAGTGATTCTATTAGTGAGGAGCAAAAAGTTAAGATATTCATGGATTTGAACTTTGTATTCAGGAGCAAACAAGTGATTGTAAGAGTTTTGGCAGCAATATCCGTCCGTCTAGCCAGACGAGGAAAATTTCTATCGGAATTATGGCAGATTCAAAAGGTAGCACAAGAAGTGTAGCCGTAAAAGGGGACGGCGCTGTAGAGCCAAATACAGAAAGGGTAATCTCTGATGTGAGAAATTGCCCTGGAGAAAAAAGAGCAGTTGAAGGAGTGACACCTTCCTTTAATATAAATACGGAAAGGGTAATCTGTAATGTGGGAAATTGCCCTGGAGAGAAAAGAGCAGTTGAAGGAGTGACACCTTCCTTTAATATAAAGCAAACTGGAGTTCCACGAGAGGAGAAGTATTCTTGGACCTCAAAATCCTTTTACCAAAGAAAACCTACTTCTCAGACCATTCTTCAAGCCAACCAAGCCTCTAGTTTACTAGTCCCTCCTGGTGGCCGGGACGAGTCTAATGGAGTAGAGTGCGCCGCTGGGAAACAGTCGGTTCAGCCTTTTTCATATCAGACTTCAATTTTTCCTTCTAATAATTACAAAAAGTTTGATGCGGACGCTGCCAGATTGAAGGGAAGGAAGGACGGGACCATTGAAAAGGTCAAGGAATTTACATTTGCCACTGCACAACAAGTCTTCGAGTCTGATAAAACCGACCCAGAAGAAAAAATAAATAGAACAGGAAACAGAACTGAAAATTTGAGGATGAAGCTTTGCCAAATATTGGGGACCACTTCTTCCCCTAAGAGCAGGCATTCAGATTCTCACGCACGTAACATGGATGAGGAAAGTTTTCCGCTTGAGCAGCGTTTGAACCAGAAGGAAAATAAATCTGCCAAGACCATACAAAATTCGGATACTATAGAAACTGATTCAGAAAATCCTGATCATACTCTTAAGAGGCCAGTAACTCGTTCTTTGAGCAGAAAGAGAGCGTCTTCCAAAAAGAAACTGGGAAAAGGTAAATGTGGCCCATCTTCAAAAAGCACAGAGAAGCATGGAGAAAAAAGTATATTTTCTTTTGAAGAAAAATGGATTGAGAGGCAAGATGCTTTTCCAAATGATGGTTCCTTGAAGAAAAAGAGTCAGAGAAAGAATTACAAATCTAGACAACATAAGATCTGCGTAACTGAAAATGACATCACAGATAAACTTCATCAAGACACATCGAAGGCTGATCCACCTCTGCATGATGGGACAACATTTTCACTTGGGAAGATAACAAGGGGATTTATTGGTTGCTTACCTGAATATCAAACAAAATGCCCTCAGGCAGAAAAAATAAACCAAGAAAAAGAATTTTACCAGCCACCAATTGTAAATACAGATCAGTGTGGAGAGCAAGAGGTTTCAGAAAATGGAAACCAACTAGAATATAGAAGTAATTCAGTCATACAGAATGTTGCTGCTAAGTCACAAGATGATTTTCCAAGTCCTACATTTCAATTTAAGACACCTATTTTAAGTTTTTCTCCGAACTCGACACCAAAAACTGGCCAAAAGGCAAATGATGTTAATAGTCCAGCATCAACTGAAAGAACATTTTCTCTGGGAAGCATTCATAGTTTAAAAACTCTCCAGGGTTCAGAGCCAGACTTCAACGGGCTAGGAGAACAAATGCAACCTTCTGTATCCTTATCACACCAAAGGTTTCAAGTTGATACTTTTGAGTGTTTGGCCCTGAACCGGAAATGTTGTGTTTCTGTCTTTTGCCATTCCTTATTAGATTTCAGGACATGGAAGAGCTCAAAACTTTCATTCCCAGAAAAGACAAATCTTCCGAGTCAGAGAAAAAAGAGCAGGGTGTTTCATCTGATTCATCATTTGAAGAGCGAAACTTTCAAGGATACCATGAAGGTTTGTCATTCATTAAATGAGAATAAATACATTAGTCTCTTGTAGATTCTTAATTAAATTTGCAGGAGATGTATCTTAAAATTAGTTGTACTTCTTTTCAAAAGGCTAATTTTTTTTAGCATTAATCGTATCTTAAAACTAAGTCAAATTGGATTAAGCGCACATTAACAGCAGAAACTAAAATAATCCTAGTGTACTTAATAGTTATACTCATTTGAAGCCATCGGAATTAGTGAGCATGTGTCTTCATAGGAATGATTTGTCTCCCCTTTTCTTCTGTTTCCATGTATATTTTCTTCTAGATTCCGAATAATTCATTTTAGCAGTAAATGTGCTTTCATAGGAAGACTCCAAAGAAATGGAAGATTCCTACATGTCCTATTTTTCTCAAACTGTTCTGACAATCGGAAATGGTATGCTTCGTTCTTAATATAATGCAAATGCATGGTAATTGCTCGCTTGGTAGCAAACAACAACGTCCAAGTCTTTCCTAATAGGTAAGACAGCTATGCAGATCAAAGAATGCTATAAAAATTGCCCACTTGATAGAAAATTACACTCTTTTGGTATTTGCCTTAGGCCTTAACCGTATATAGTATGTACCTAGTCCTTCATAACCTTTGATCCGAGACTGAGATGTGTTCTATCATGACTGGTTACTGTTCCAGTTCCTTGTACAGTGTTAGAGTGACCTTCCGGTCCCCTGGTCTTGTTCTTATTTTGAAAGGATCATCTTCCAAACCAAAACAAAAATAAAAGAAAGAGAGGGGAGGGGGGGGGGATTCCACCGTACAGAGTGATTGCTCTTTGGTTCCTCCTGTAGATTGATAACGGTTGTGAGGAATGAAGCAAATGCTATTGAACTTGATACACCATGAATAATTAAAATTCATCAAATGTAATTGTTATTAGAATGTGACATTGCATGCCCTCTACAATCCCTATGTGTTACTTATTTAATGCATTCGTTGTTTTACTTCAATTGCAGAGTGTTGTCAGATATTCTGTGATTTTTCCTCCCTTGTATACCGTTGTGTCCTTTTGAAGCGGAGCCATTTTCTTAGTTATATCTAAATTCTGTAAGTGTAGGTTCAAGAGTAGGATATGCTTCCGGGAGGAAAAGTTTTGCTATTCATCCTATCAAAAGGCTGTGCAAACAGGAAGGCAGTAAATTTAATGATAGGAGTCCAGCTTCAATGTCATCAAAAGGCAAAAATTGAATTTGTACTTGATATTTATATCTAAATATGATATTAAGATATATGCAATCTTTATACTAAATTTACACAAATGATTAGGGACAGGAGACAGTGATTGGATTGATGAAGCTTCTGAGCAGAATCAAGATGGGTTTGCAAGGTGTTTTCTCTTTTTCCATGACGATTCGATTAATGAGTCCAGAACAATACAAATTACTACCCATGTTTACATAATCTTTTAATTGTACTATTCTTGTCAATTTGATAGGGCTGTTGAACTGTTAGCCTTGGAATTGGGAAAACTTCAGAGCAAAATTAAGTCGATGACAAATCAGAAATCCTCGGAAATTTTGAAGTCTGTTGCGGAAGAAATACATCTGCAGCTGCAGAATGTTCATTCCCAGATTCAGACAGACATGTAGGTTTATTAGACTGATGAATTCTTAAGCTTCCGATATCTTATGTTTGTATGTTTTTCTGAACAAATGTTACAGGGGAAAGCTTACAAATCTCAGTAAATCTAAGAGAAAAAGGCTGGAAACAAGATTTGAAGGTAGCAAAATTTCTAGCTCAATGTTTATTTTATATTTATTAGTGGGTTGTGACATTCTGTGATTCTATTTATTTTCCATTAAAAAAAATAAGAACTTTAGAGACAATTGTGTATCAACTACAGTGAGAGAAGATGAAGTCTTACAATGAGATGGAAAGAGAGATATGAGAAGAGAGAGAGAAAAAAAAAGACCATTGTTTGAATAATGAGAAGTTTCATTTGTAATAGAAATATTGTTCACAGTTACTTAAGTTAAAAGACTAAAACATGAAAATAAAAGTCTAGGTAGAAATAAATGAATTTGTTTTTTTTATTAAATTTTGAAGGACAAAATAGTATCATTAAAAATAGATGTATGTTTTGATTTAAGTATCGTAGTTATTGTATACGTTTTTCTCCCAGGAATGGATCTGAGATGTTCAAATTTTATGTCATGTGCGAGTTTTGCGTTAGTCTCTCTATTGATAGACATTAAATAAATGGAGTACTATAAAAAATAATGAAAAGTGATATAGACATAAATTTTGCATATAAGCTATCATGTACATGAGAGGATTCCGTTTCCCTTTCTCCTTTTCATATTTGCCTTTCAAATTCAACTTCCGAAACCTTCTAGAGTTCTTTCTAAGTAGAGAATTTAACAGCAAACTCCAGCAATAATGTTTGGGACTTCATGAATATTCTTTGAAACGTTTGAGAATCTCTTAATGGCTCAAAACAATCCTCCTAATTAGTAATTATCCAAGAGGAAACATTAAATGCTTTTTAACTTCTCTATATACTATTTATTACTATAGGTCCTTGTTAGAAAATGTGAAACTATATTTCATTCAACTGCAACAGTTTTTGTTTCAAATATACATAAGAAAAATAAACTCAAGAAAAACAGAACAATTATATAAATAAGGCGTTCTGCTACCACTTCATAATTACATAACCTAATGATACTCCAAAAGGTATGGATCACCATACAATCAAAACATTACATAACAACTAACTAAAACAGAATATAGAATTTCAAATTAAAAAAGAAGAAAAACAATGGTCTACATTAAAAACCTAGTTGCCTTAACACTAAACAGTCCTAGCTACTAACGAGTGTTCTAAGAATAGTGGTTGAGGAACAAATAAATAAATACTCTTATTAGAAATTAGAGATGCATTGATAATATTTTCCCAGTTTTTTGTTATTCCTTAACCAATGACAAAGCGTTCTCCACACATAAGGTACTTTTTTCATTTTCATTTAATACTTCTATTTTAAAATTAATTAGGAGCATGATAGGCTGATTATTTTCTTTTTTTGAGGATTTAGCATTGTTCGTTCTTTCCCTCGTTTTGGTTGAGTTGACGTTCTATTTGGTTTTATGTAATATTTTAGGATAAAAAAAAAATAGATGCAAAATTTATCTTGTTCATATTCTTCAAACTTCAGTTCATACTAATTTGATAATCAATAGTTAGGATACAAAATGTGATTGTATCGAGACTACTTCAAAGAATTCATACCCGTCTCGCCATAAGTACTTTAAATTTCAATAATACTTGATATTCTTATCTTAGTACTGTAACAACAGTCACTACAAGTCCAGAAGAAAGTTTGATTTGAAAACAGATATTTATTCGTAAGAATATACGTTGGCAACAGTTATGAAAATCCTAAAATTACTTGTCACAAGGTTATAAAAAAAGGGAGAGACAAAAGGAATGGTATGATTGCACTAGATCTTGCATTTAGTATTTCTACAAATTACTATATATGTACATCACCTCTGAATCTTATATTCAACATTTTCATTATATTTTCTTGTTATATGATTATGTTAGTGCTTGACTTTGTCCGGAGATGTTTTCTTCCCTCTTTCGTAACTTTTCTAACCTTCTCTTATTCTAACAAAAACGTAGACCAACAGAAACAGCTAAGGTTAATATACAGTAAGTTCAAGGAAGAGGTTAGTCAGCATCTACAGGATTGCAGAAGCACTGTTGAAGATCTTGAAGCAGATCAAACAGAGATCAAGAGAGCCATGGAAAAGCAAAGTATGAAAACACTGTTTTATTTTTTGGTACAATAATATTTTTTTGGTACAACAGTATTTGTGTTTAAAATAACTTGTAATTAAAATTTGATTGTATTTTTCTAAAACGCAATTTTCCCAACAAATTAATATAATCCAAATATGCAAAAGACATCTTTTGGATATTGATACTCCCCTTGTTTTAAAGTACAATATATCCATAAATATCAACTCGGGGGTAGTGTTCAATTTAGTTTTATTTGAAAAAAGAGTAACTAAATGGTGTTCGTGACTATTAGAGATGGAGTCATATCAATGGAGTAGTGCAATTCTATCATATTTTCTCCCCCTTTTTGAGCAAATAAAGTTATAACCTTTCTAATCGCTAGAGCCATCATACAGTTTGCACATATTTATGTCATTTTCTGCATTATTTCTGTTAATTATTTTGTTTTAAAATATCAATTACGCAGTTTGGTAATATAAGCGTTGCATTTTTATTTTTATTTTTAATGAGAAGGGTCTCATGTAATATGCAACAAAAATCATGGACAACTAAGAAAAGAAAAGAGCTCAGTTGAGCTCTCTAGGGCCTAACATCTTGCTAAGAAAAGAAAAATCACCATTTGTATGATTGATTAGTATCATGTAGGTTTTGGCCTCATTATGAATATATCTTGTATTATAGGATTAGCACATAAGAAGCTTCTGTCGCAAGTTGAAGAAGCAGTGCAGATCCAACTTGATGACGCTCAAAGGAAAATCACAGTCACCCAGGAGGCAAGTATTTGTTACTCTAGGTTTTCACTGCTTTCTCGTGATGTTATATGAATGAGTAGTGGCTAGACATCAATCGCTTGATTCTCGAATTACTAGTTTACTGATACACTGCACCATACATTCCGTTAAATTATACTTGAATCACGAGTAATGATATTCGTCTGCCTAAAAATGGGGCGGACTGGGGTGAAAAGAGAAAAAGTAGAGAAAGAAATTGATAAATAATTAAATATGATATGTGATGTGACAAAAAAGAAGAGAAGGATAGGATGAGAATGACGTGAAAATGGGATGGAAGAGAAAATAGGTGGATGATAAGAATTTCCCCTTGAATCATTGTCCACAAGACTACAGTCACTGCAGCCTGCGAAATGCAGGATAGCCAACCATTTGGATTATGCTTGTCAGGCAGAGAAACTGTCCTGCCAAATGACCATGCAGCCAACATCTTACCCCTTCATTGATCATATAATGAATGGTTTGGATTTTAGTTGTATAAAAAAAATGATGGAGAGGCAGGAGAGGATCCAAACAAGAAAATAAAATTCCAGCGTTAAGTTTTATTGGCACCAAGATCTTTTGATCCTTGCATTGTTCATTGAATTTAGGGTGTTTGTGTGATATCTTGCTGGTTCAGCTTCCTTTTTCCTATCGATTGTATTTTCTTTACAGCATGGTTAACCATCCTAGTAATCGGAGATAAAGATTATTTTGTATCTTGTCGGACTGATTTTATCCTCTTAATTGGTTGCAGAAGGCGAGGGCGAAACTTCTACAATTGAAGCAGGTTGTCGCTATGTGCTTGAAAGAGGGAATACTGAGTTGATATGTATTCTGCTGATTCCCTGCAAGTTAGATTTTGCTAGATTGTCGCTATGTGCTTGATTGGAATCGTTAAAAGATTTCTATGTACGTAATAATATTATGCCCCTCCCTCTTCTTAAGTACATAGAATAGAATAGAATGGATAATGTGGCCGAGTTCAAGTAACATCACTTAAATTTTCTTTTATAAACTCGAATACCACCGGGTCTATTGTGCATGATTTGTGGGATAAAAAAGACCCTAAAGCGTCATTGAGATTTTTTTTTCCTTAATCATTTTTTTATTTTCCAACCTCAAAATTGGCGGGTCCAACACTCTGGTTTTGAAACTGATAAATATATTTCAAATGTATGCCTTTGAGTTTTATGGTATGCTTGGTTAGGAAAGACAGGAAAAAAATAATAGAAAGTGAGATAATTCTTAAGGTGTTTTTTTTTTTTTTTTTCATGTTTCTAACAGGGCCATACTTGATTGAGTGCAAGAGGGAAAGAGTAACTATG